ACAATCAACCACAAAGAACAAAGCAATGCATCTTCTAATGTCCAAGAATCACAAGCTGGGCACTTAGCCTAGTCATTTAGCTAGCTAGCCATTAGCCTAGAGCACCTCACAGAGAAGCCCCTGGGTTCCAGACATAACATCACTCCCAGCTTCCTACTCGCGCAGACTTTGCAAACCATCAAGCATGGTGGCTCTTTGCCCCACACTGGGGAGACAGTGAGCTTCTGGCTCCCAGCTTCAGCCTGGCCCAGGCCACATTGCCCAGGTCATCCAGGTCATTCATAGGCATCTGGGTTGCAGATCCCAGACGGGAGCCCTCTCTGTCTCTCAAAGGGGAAGGGAGAAAGGATGATGATGGAGAACCCTGGAGCAACATCTCCAAAATTCTGAAAATGGCCCGGACCAGCATTCTCTTTGAAAGGCAGAGTCGTAGAGAAAATGTGAGACAGAGAGAGGAGTCTTCCTTCCACTGGTTCATTCCCCAAATGGCTGTAATGGCCAGAGCTGAGCAGGTCTAAAAGCAGGAGCCAGGAGCTCTCTCTCTGGGACTTCTGTTTAGGTGCAGGGGCCCAAGGACTTGAGCCCTCCTCTACTACTTTGCCAGGTCACAGTAGGGAGCTCCACTGAAAGTGGATCAGGTGGGACATAAACCAGTGCAAATATGGGATACCAGTGCTACAGGCAGCAGTTGAGTATGCTACACCACCATGCCAGTCCAAGAAATTCTACTGCCAGTAAAATTACTATTTTATCAAGAACCAGCTAGTTAAAGACACTTTCAAGCATACAGATTGAAACAGCTTACTAAGAAAAACTTTCCTCAAGAATACTCAGAATGAAGGTAGAAACTGAAAAATTAAAAAGAAAACCTGAAGTTCCAGAACAAAGGGATCAAAATCAAGCAAGCACAATGACAAGTGCAACAGTCATCAAGAAGACCTGAAGTGCAAACGTTCCAGATGGAACCAGAGAACAGATGGTCAGCTGATTCTCTAAAAAGATGCAGAGCTTAGGGCCCAGCGTGGTAGCTTACTGGTTAAATCCTCACCTTGCATCTGCCAGGATCCCATATAGATGCCAGTTCTAATCCCTGCAGCTCCACTTCCCATCCAGCTCCCTGCTTGTAACCTGGGAAAGCTGTCAAGGACGGCCCAAAGCCTCGGGACCCTGCACCTGTGTGGGAGACCCAGAAGAAGTTCCTGGATCCTGGTTTGGGTAAGGCGCAGCTCCAGCCACTAGCCACTCGGGGAGTGAATCAGCGGATGGAAGATTTCTCTCTCCTTCTGTAAATCTGATCTGTCTTTCCAATTAAAAATTAAAATAAATTAAAATTTTGAAAACTATTTTTAAAAAAGGTGGGAGCCTAATTAGAGGTCCACATGGGCATGTGTCACTCTCAACTATGTAAACATTTTCAAAAATAAAATGAACGTATTATTAAGAAATAATAAAAAATGGAGAGGAGTGGGATATGGGGGCCGGGTGGCAAGCCAAGGTATTTCATGATGTTGAGAAAGGAGTCACGATGAATCATCTTAGCATAGTCATACTGTGGCTGGGCTGTACATAAAAAGAACTCTTACAAACAAAAGTTTGTATATAGGCCAAACGCTTCTTACATTCTTAACAAAATCAGAACTCAAAAACTCATTGCCTGATGAAAAATAATTGACAAACTCATGGAGAGCAAAGGAACCAGGCACATGGCAAAGGAGCAGAACTTGGCAGGACCTTGGAGTGAAGAGCCAGAGCCACCTGCTAGCATCTTGGAAGGCAGGCAACTAACTTCACTAGCTTATCAGGAATGTCTTCCAATCGTCCAGAGCTAACATCCAACGGCTCAGTCACAGACATTCACCTTACACAGAATTATGATTCTTCATCTGAAGGGGTGAGAGGCCATAAAATCTGTCCTGGTGCTCCTGCTAATACTGCCTGCGTCTATGGAGAACCATGTCTGCAGTGAACTACTGACTTACAGAAGTAAACCACAGCATCCCCGAGGGAGAACGTGGGGCTGGGGACAAGACGAAGCATCACTTGTACTTCTAGAAATACAGCAGCAGGTGTTGCAGTGTAATGAGTTAAGCCACCATCTGGGAGGCCCACATCCTACACCTCAGCGCCAGTCCAAATCCCGGCTGCTCCACCTCTGATCTAGCTCGCTGCTAAAGGGACTGGGAAACAGTGGATGATGCTTCCAGTATTTCAGTTGCTGCCTTCGACATGGCAGACCTAGATGGAGTTTCTGGCTCCTGTCTGTAGCTTGGCTCAGCCCCAGCTAGGACAGTCACTCGGTGAATGAACCAGTGAATGGAAGATCTCTCTCTACCCATTCCATCACTCCCTTTCAAATCAACAATTCTTTAAAAAACAAATCAGGGCCCGGCGCGGTGGCGCAAGTGGTTAAGTCCTCGCCTTGCAAGCCCGGGATCCCATATGGGCGCCGGTTCTAGTCCCGGCAGCCCCGCTTCCCTTCCGGCTCCCTGCCTGTGGCCCGGGAAGGCAGTTGAGGACGGCCCAAAGCTTTGGGACCCTGCGCCCGCGTGGGAGACCCGGAGGAGGCTCCTGGCTTCGGATCGGCATAGTATCGGCCGTTGCGGCTCACTTGGGGAGTGAATCATCGGACGGAAGATCTTCCTCTCTGTCTCTCCTCTCTGTACATCCGCCTTTCCAATAAAAAAAATAATAATAATAAAAATAAATCTAAAAAAAAAAACCAAATCAGAGGAGGGGCAGGTACAGTGGTTCAACAGACTACTGCTCCATCTTGTAGCACCAGTATTCTCTACTTCCCATCTAGCTCCCTGCTTATGGCCTGGGAAAGCAGTGGAGAATGGTGCAAGCCTTTGGGTCCTGCACCCATGTAAGAGACCTGGAAAAAGATCCTTGCTCCTGACATCAGATCAACTCAGCTCTGGCCGCTGTGGGCATTTGGGGAATAAAACAGCAAATAGAAGATCTTTCTGTCTCTCTCTCTCTCTCTAAACCTGCCTTTCAAATAAAGCAAACATATAAATACACCTTCTTTAAAAGATTATCACATAAAGCACCATTATCTCTTAGCCAAAAAGTTGAAACAACTCAAGTATCTGTCAACAGATGAATAGTATGCAAATGTTGCATACAAATATAGCAAAATATTAATCACCCCTCAAAAAGGAATGGCACACACTACAATGTGTCTCTACCATGAAACATGAGACATCAAAGCGATCTCACTTATATGAGCTGATCAGAAGTCACAGAGACGTGGAGGAAATAGGTGCAGGGTTGCAGTGTGAGCAGATTAAAGTTCTGGAGCTGAATGGTGGTGGCGAACCAACAACAGTATAAATTTACTCCATGTCAGATGGGTTAAGATGGAAAATGTCATGGCATGTGTATTTTATCTTTTTAAAAAAAAAAATTTTTAATTGTAAGGCCCAATCAAGTAAAAATAAACCATATCACAGAACTCCACATATTTGAAGCTATAAAACATCAACTAAGTTGTACCTATATTTTTATCATTATATCTGATGTAAATATTTCACCTTAGTAATATAGATACCATATTGCCAGGATTACATAAAAAAAAATTAAGAAAGAAAATTTTGGCAATGGAAAAAAAGTTTCAAGTTCAGATAATCTAGTGGAATTTACATTTAGAAATTCACCAGACATGTCCTAAGGACTATTTTGGGAAATGAGAGCAGACAACGCTCAAAGCCCTCTGTTGCTCTGCAAAAACCTGGGGCCGTTACTTCCTTATCTTCTTAACCTATCAAGCTTTTGCAGAAATTTTATTTCAAGAAAGAAAGAAAGAAATGAAAAAAATAAAAAGCAATATTAAGTTGCCTCCCTCGGCCCCAACTTCATGTCTTGGTAGGCTCGAACGTTACCTACTCTGAACTCTGACAAGGAATCTAATTATGAATAACAGTGCAATAAAATTGACAGTGTGCCCAGAAACATAAATTGTTACTACAGCTTTCATTTAAAATAGCTTTCATGCCATGTAAGGTTGTAGGTAAAAGCTAAAGAATATATACACACATATATAGCCCACCCTTGAAGGCATCACTATTTTTAAGATAACAAAATATTTGAAGAATTTCTGTTGCAAGACACTGGAACTTCTAATAGTTTGTTACTGTTACTACTGGCAGATGTAATTCATGCCAAAGGTTACAAGAAAAATAGGATGTGCTTCTGTGAAATCTAACAAAATGTACACACAAATTGTTGACAACTTACTAGCAACATGAAATAGTGTATGTTGCCGGTTTTTGAACCATATTGTTCGACAACTGCTTTATAATTCTCGATACCAAGATGAGCTTGGAATTATTTTCAAACATGAATATTACTGTGGAAGGCGCTGACCTTCACACTCCCGACACACTTCGTGGGAGGGCAAGTGACAGCAGGAGGAAATTATTACTTTATAAACCGTACCACTTCAGATTCAAAGGAAGGGTTATCATTTCTTTGTAAGAAAAGCATTCAGTCAGTAAACCCAATATAGCCACTGACACCTGCAGACTGACATGGGCACGACCCTTGTAATTTGCTGCACCATGGGCATTTCTGTAGAATTGAGCGTGTTTTGTCACCGAATGCGGAGGATTCACGCCAATCCACAGAGAACGGTTCAGTTTCTTACATACAACTTGCCACCTAACTGCAAATCCAGACACAAAGGGAGCAGACGATATTCTCAGAATTTGGGGAGAGAAATTCAAAATAATAAAAGTAATAATAATAATAAATAATAATAATAAATCTAGATCTGTCTCTTTTTGGTTTGTTTTCCCAACTAAACTCTAAAAAAGGAACATTGTGCTAACCCATCAAAGACTACAGAATCAATCACTTCCTCTGTAAGTGCAAACAGCAAAATTTCCAATGATCCATAAAGAAATAGCAACCCCTCCACTTGGAAAGTTTACAAAATGCAGTCACTTGAAAACCCCTGCTGCTGTTGAGTCTCTCACTGGATTACAAAGAATACTCACATGTGTGGGTTCTGAACTCCTGTAGGATTGGGATTCAGAGTAAACCTCGCTGTAGATTTGAAAGGTGGATTTGCAAAATTCAACTTCAGTGCTTTGCGTTTACCTGAGAAATAACAGATAAAAAGTACAGATTTCAAGTACTAGAAAACAGGGACTACTCTGAGGGCATAAGACATTCATACCAACAGGCAGGGAAAAAATTAGCTTCAACAAACAGTTAACACGGGACAATATTTTGAAAGGCAACCAAGAATTTCTCAGAATTAAGAGAAAGTAAATTGAAATTACCTGGAGTTTTTCCTAACTACAAGTTATGCACTACACTGCAGTAAAACAAATCATGCTAAGCGCTTAACTGGTGTGACTATTTTGTAAATTAAAATACCACTCTATAAAAATCATTTATCTCAGCAGAAAAATTCTAAAATTTTACCTCCTCTTCAATGTTACATCTTAAGACCTTCAGTTTACCAAAAACAAAAACACCACTTTCCTTCACGTTTAGCATAAACATCTGAGTCATCCTACACTCAAAATAAGCTAAAGACACCATGGAATAATCAACTTCAAGTTCCTAACACGGGCTATACCACTGAAACCATTTCTTTGGGAAGCTTCAAAATTCTTCATCACATAAAGCAAAACGTATCTACTATGTGCAAAAGCCAGACATTTAGAAAACACATGGCTATGTAATCACAGGACGTAACTGCAGTTGTTAAATATATGCTGCTTAGTCCGACTATCCCTACGAGATCCTGTTTCCGATACAAACCTGATTCTTTTCCCTAGGACAGCTCTCAGACAACGGAACGGTATGCTGACCCACTACAATGCCGTCTACACTAATGAATCTGAAGAATTCAATTATTAATTTACGATACGCATGGATACTTTGGTAGATTTGGGTCTTCAAGCTCCTGTAGCCCATCTTGGCTTGTTCATATTGACTGATGCTTTCTCCCGCTCTTCTGTTCCACATTTACCTAGTTTCCAACCTTAGTGGATTCACAAGATTTACTGGAAGACTCCAGCCCACAGCCACCAGCCATGGAAATCCCATGGTTCTGCACCCGCTGGAGAGAACAGAGCGAGGACAAGCACATAGGGCACCCAGACCAGCTTTCGGGGGCGGTGGGGAGGTCCCTGGGATTCCCTGAAACCCCAAGGAGACCAGGCACATCCATTTGCAGAATTCAGGACAGCACAACTAGAAGTGCCTGTGTAATTTCCTGTTTCAAGTGCCAAATATATATTTTAAAGTCATTTTAAGTGACAGCAAGTATCTATTCAAACTGCTTGCACATGCAAATACTATTTTATTAAAAATGGTGGATCTGATTGTATAAAAACATCTTCTATACATTATAAAACAAAAAGTTTTTAGCATTAAAACTTGGTAAAAATCCTTACAAAAGAAATCCAGAAATACAAAAATACAAATAGTAAAGACAAATGAGGAAAAAAAACATATGAAAAGGCACTAAACCTTCATTCATGTGAAACGGGAAATGTTTGGTGGCATTAGTTATATTACGTACATTAGATATATTCACACCTTATACATATACATGTACAAGCATTACACACATGAAGGCTAATCAAAAATTTCACAGAAAGGGAGAACTTCCTCATCCCATTTCTCCATGAACTTTTTCGAAGACCCCTCCAACAATGATTAAATGAAAGAATCACTGTTAAAATAAACTGTCGGTGAGAAGGCAAATCAGTGTAACTTTCCTGGAGAGGGGCTTGGCAAGAATATTTTCAGAATGAGTTATGTTCCTCCTTATCCTGAAAGCTTGTCTTTAGGAATTTTCTATAAATGAAGGATTACTCCCAGACCTGAGAGCTAGTCGAATTTGCTGTGCTGAACTTGGAAAAGTGTGCAGGACTGCTCACTCTCTCGCTTCTTTCTTCCTTTTCTATGTCTGACTGTTATTCAATACATGTGCCACTACTGTATCTGGGAAGTAAGCAGGCTGTCTTCTGGTTTCTGCGTTCAAAATTGTCGGAATGTGTGCCATGTGGAAACTATCCAGTATCTCATCCACACCCGATTCAGAATTTGGGATTTCTTCCCAATGGTGCTTAATCGCTGTTGCAGGAATTACAATTTCACAATGTTGGGATAGAATGAACCTATTTTATACGTGGGATGATGGCTGCTTGAGGGTCAGAAGGCGGACTGTAATGGTCTGAATGGTGGCCCGAAAAGAAACTCGGTCCTTAACCCTGGAGCCTTTGGCTGCTACTACGTAAGGCTGCTAACTACGTATGGCAAAATGTTCTGAAGAAAAGATGAAGGTAGCCGCTGTGCAACCATAAACGTCAATGAGCCCAAACCCTGTGCACTCCCCAAATAAAAAGCCTGTCATGTGGCACGTGTCTGAAACCCATTAGCTCATCGCCTGTGATCTCTGTTTGCAGGGAAACTGAGTAAAGCCCAACATCAAACAGAGAACTACATACAACACAGCGTGAGCCATGGTGAAAACTGTCTAACAAAAACAGCAAAACTGCTTGATTCTGCAGAAGCCCAATTCAAGGCAACCAAAAAAACGAACCTTTTGGAGGCAAATATAGGACTACAACTAAAACCTGCATAAGCTGTTTCCGTAAAAATAAATATTTGCATCTAATACATGGATACCCAGACACGGGATGGGGAGTGAAAGACACTGTCTCTCATCTCTGTATTCACATTTACACAAGAAACAAATTGGGAGCTAAAGGCCATTTCCTCCATACACACAGACACACACAGCTTAACAGAATATGATTAGCAAACACACATCAGACTGAAACACTCTCCAATCTTCAGAAACGACTGCAGGACCTTGGAGCCAGTCCAAACGCATATTCTTTTTTTTTTTTTTTAAGATTTATTTATTTATTGGAAAGTCAGATGTACAGAGAGGAGGAGAGACAGAGAGGAAGATCTTCCGTCCCATGATTCACTCCCCAAGTGAGTGCAACGGCCGATGCTATGCTGATCTGAAGCCAGGATCCAGGAATTTTTCCGGGCATTCCACACAGGTGCAGGGTCCCAAAGCTCTAGGCTGTCCTCGACTGCTTTCCCAGGCCACAAGCAGGGAAAGCTGGATGGGAAGTGGCGCTGCCAGGATTAGAATCGGGGCCCATCTGGGATCCTGGCACATTCAAGGCGAGGACTTTAGCCGCTAGGCCACACCGCTGAGCCCCAAATGCATATTCTGATGGTTCAGCAGCAAAATACCTTAGGAGACTGCGTGAAAGTTCAAAGCCTCTCCAAGAGAGGTGTCCAGGGCTCACAGGAAGACCAAGCGAACACAGCCTGTCCTTCTCTGTGCACACCAGCTCTCCCAAAGATGCTCAGCTTAAGACGAACTCATACAGCAGTGCTGAAGAGGAGAGGGAGGGTCCCACAGCCAGTGCACATCGCAAGGCCCTTTCTGCCATCTTCTCGGGTCATTGAAATGGTGCCTCCACTCACTTCACTCCCGTGAGTATCAGATTCGGTATCACCACTGCTCGTGCTTTGCTTTACTTCCATCTTTCTTAGAAGCCCCACCCTCCAAAAGATCAAACCCATGGGGTCAGTAGTTTGGTACAGTGGGTTAAGCTGCTGCTTGAAATGCTGGCCATCTCACAAGTCAAGAACCAGCTACTCTGCTTCCAATCCAGCTCCCTGCCAATGTGCCGGGAAGGCTAAGTGCTTGGATCCCTGTCATTGAAATGGGAATCAGGAGGAGTTACTGCCTCCTGCTTTGGGCCTGGCCCAGTACTGGTCATTACAGTCTTTTGGGGAGGGAATCAGCAGGTGGAAGATCTCTCTTACCCTCTACTTTTCTCATCTCCATGTCTCTGTACCTCTATTCACCTTCTCTCTCCCTCCCCTGTCCCCTCTTCTCCCTTCCATCACTCTGACTTTAAATGAATAAATAAATAAATCTTCTTACTGTTGTTGAATCTCTGCGTTAGATGAGGCATGTGGTGCAGTGGGTAAACCACCAATTGGAACAGAATGTCTGAGTTGGAATCCTGGCTATGCGCTGATCCCAGCTTCCTGCTCACGTGCACCCTGAGGCAGCACGCCATGACTTAAGCACTTGGGTCCCTACCAGCCATATGAGACCTGGATTGATCTGGGGTTCCCATCTTCAGGCTGGCCCGATTTCGGCTCTTGTGGGCATTTGGTAAAGTGAAGCAGCAGTTAACAAGATTTCTTTTTCAGCCTTTGAAACAAAACTGATTAATTTTAAAAGAAAGCTGTCTTGATGCCCAGTGCTATTCAAACACAATTTTCACGTCATCTGCATACAATGTCATCCACAAAATTCACATGAGAAAAAAAGCACTCCAATGCATGGAATTGTTAGGGATACAAAGAATTATTATTCTGAAGAACAGGGATTTGGCCAAGCACATGCACATTTATTCAGGCCTCAGAATATCTTTTGCTGTAACTCTGAGCAACCCACAGAGCCACACAATGCTGAAGAAAGACATCTTCCAGCTGTATTTAGCTTTAAATGATACGATAAGTAGTCCTGACTAGTCTCCATCCACTAGCTTCTCCGTTTTCTTTCTATTGGAAAGTCAGATTTACAGAGAGGAGGAGAGACAGAGAGGAAGATCTCCTCCCAACGATTCACTCCCCAAGCGGCAGCAACAGCCAGTGCTGTGCTGATCACAAGCCATAACCAGGAGTCTCTTTAGGTTTCCCAGGTGGGTGCAGGGTCCCAAGGCTTTGGACCATCCTAAACTGCTTTCCCCGGCCACAAGCAGGGAGCTGGATGGGAAGCGGGGCCGCCAGGATTAGAACCAGTGTCCATATGGGATCCCACTACATGCAACATGAGGACTTTACCCATTAGGCTACCGCACTATGCCCCAGCCACTAACTTGTTAAGCAACAGAAACTCTTGACTTCACGTTCCAGTTTGGTTCAATCTTGTGGCCAAGAACTCCATCGGGAGCAGTCAGAGCGGGCCACTCAACTATGGACTCTGTGTAATCTACGTCACCAGAGACATGGAAGTGCTTCTATCCCCATAAAGTCTGCTTATGTTGGATCTGCCTTGCCACTCCCCCTAAATTTAATCAAACTACCATAATCAA